ACGGTGCAATCTCGGCTCACTGAAACCTCCACCTCCCAGGTTCAAGTGATTCTGCTGCCTCAGCCTCCTGAGTAGCTGGGATTACAGACATGCACCACTATGCCCAGCTAAGTTTGTATTTTTAGTAGAGACAGGGTTTCTCCATGTTGGTCAGGCTGGTCTCGAACTCCTGACCTCAAGTGATCTGCCCGACTCAGCCTCCCAAAGTGCTGGGATTACAGGCATGAGCCACCGTGCCTGACCAGAGCTGGTATTATTGTATTTGGAGCTGTTTGTTCAAGACACAAGCTTGATGTTACCATGATAAATTTTTTTCTTTCACAGAAATAAAATATCTCAAATGAAATATTAATACACATATTATTTTGAATAGAGTAGTTAAAGAAATTCAGTGGTGATTACTTAATATGATTGAATCATCACAATAAAATTTATCATTCTTGAATATATGCATTTTTGTGGGAGAGGCTGATTTTTTTTTCCTTGGAGGGTAGAGCCATTGTGCTGATTTTTTTTTTCCTTGGAGGGTAGAGCCATTGTATTGATGAAATACCAATGAAACAAACAAAAATGAAATGTGAATAAGCTAACAATCTAGAATTAGATTAGTTGCTGAGAAAATGTATACAACATGCAAAGAAAAATGATTAGTATCAAAATCTAGAAGCAATGGGGAAGAATCAAAATTCTAAACATTTGAAGATGAAAATATATTCCCATCTAGTCAGTTTAGTTTAACAATAGGTAAAGGCCACAAAATGGGTGTCAAAACAATATCGTTACTATTATTCACTAGGGATTTGATAACCAAAATTAAAACAACCCTCTGGTTAACTTTTCACCTTGATTTTGCATTTCCCTGTGTCTTTAGTTTGGTGACTTTCTTTTCCTTCAAAGATCCCACATTAAGGATGGGGGAAGGGAGTGAATATTAATGCAGAGAAGCAGCTCATTACATGACCATTTTAAATAACACCCAAATCCTTATGTAAACATGGATCATGGGTTGAGCTTTTAATGAGTATGAATGCTTTCAAAGTAGGATTTCAAGTATTCTAAAGTTAAATGCTAAATGTGTTTTGTTTCCAGTCACTAAAGAGCTAGTTATTTTGAAATTAAAGCATAACTGGGAATGCAAGATTCTATCTGTACCTTTCAAAACTTTGGTGTCTATGAATTAAAAGTAGTTCAATCAGCCAGGTTAGAATGACCTTCAGATTATCAGTCCAGGCCATCTAAACTATCCTTCATGTGTAAATACAGTTTAGTTTTTAAGTGCTTTTATTCCACTGCATTATGTTTTCTAAATGTACCTCCCATGCATCACAGCCATTTGAAATATTTGAAAAAAGTACCAGGTACAGAAGAAACAGTCAAGTTGGGGGCTCTAAGAGCAGTAATTGAGGATTCCCACAGCCTCCAGTATGGTCGCTGGGTACAGGAATGCAGCCTGGTAATTGTATTAAGACTCAGTCTTGAGGTTTGGTACTCCAGGGGTCTCTTTACTCCAGTGAGTTAGGCTACCGTGTTCCTTATTAACAACTCTCTATACAGGAAGAATGTGTACTTGCATGTACATCCTGCTTTTTATCATTTAGTTATTTAAAGGCTTTCAATTCTTTGTGGACCAACTTATGAATTACACAGTTTTTTGTTTAGATATAGCTATGCCACTTTTTGTCCTCCACATTGATTTCAAACTGACTTGCAAAAATAAGAATTCTTATTTCTTCATGGCAGTTTGATGTAATGAATTTTATACATTTTTTAAGGGCAAATGTATAAAAGTAGCTAGGACCTTTAAACTTGTGGAAAACAATATTTTTAAGAGAACTATTGGCTGGGCGCGGTGGCTCACGCCTGTAATCCCAGCACTTTGGGAGGCTGAGGCAGGTGGATCACGAGGTCAAGAGATCGAGACCATCCTGGTCAACATGGTGAAACCCCCTCTCTACGAAAAATACAAAAAATTAGCTGGGAATGGTGGCGCGTGCCTGTAATCCCAGCTACTCAGGAGGCTGAAGCAGGAGAATTGCCTGAGCCCAGGAGGCGGAGATTGCGGTGAGCCGAGATCGCGCCATTGCACTCCAGCCTGGGTAAGGAGAGCGAAACTCCGTTTCAAAAAAAAAAAGAGAACTATTACTTTAAACACAAACATAAATCCTTAACCGTCTAAATGAGACTTTTAAAAGTTATAAATCAAATGCTTTTCCTAAGATGTCTTTTTAACATCTTTAGCCCCCTCCTTACCAGAAATTTGTCCACTTCTTCATCTCTTCTTAATTATCTTTATTTTTCCTTTCATCTCATAATATATCCTTTTAAGGGGACATGGTTTTACAGATCACTTTAAGATTTTTCCTTTAAATGTATGATTTAAGAGTGTCATAACAAGTAATCAGGAAGTTTATATAAGATAATATAAAAAGATGAGCAGGCATATAATACTCATTTTTCCAAAAGCACCACGATCAACACTACCCATTGATAACCACTTTAAACATTCTAGTAAATGAATCCAAAATTAAATTAAGCTTTTATAAATTCATCTTGGGTTTAACCATTTGCTCTAATTTATTGATGTAAAACTGCCTCTAACAATTACTGAGATTACAGTTTAGAAAGGAAACATTCCATTAGCTATCTCTGCCACAATAGCATAACATTACACTTCGTTCTGTTACTTTGGCCCACCCCCTTAAGAAATAGGAATGTTATTATGTGGTCTTATTTCACATTCTAACTTCAGTCACTTGGGTTTGGAGGGCACGGTTTCCACTAACGTTAAAAGACCTAGCTCTATAAATTACAACTAAAGACCTAAAAAATCTCCGCAAATTTCTCAAAACATCTTTTGGGATAGAAAGTATTTCTATTCTTTAAAGATTAGAGAACCGAGTTATATGATTTACTGATTTAAGTTCTCATGATATGATATGATTGCTAAAATCTAAGTCTTAATGGAAATCAAGATTTCATAGTAGTAGATATGAAATCTTGATTTCCATTAAGACTTAGATTTTACCTAAATGATGACTGCTTTAGTATGTCAAAGTTTAAGACCCATCCCCATTTTTTTTAACTGCTTAAAAGAATGGCTTTGCCATTTTCTTTGGCCAGGAATTAACTACAACATAATAAAATTTGCCAATACTTTCTTTTCATAGTTGTTCTTTGTACTGGGACAGGAAAGGGTGCTTTATCACTCGTTATGGTTGTTCGTGGTCCAATCCAAATCATATACACCCTGGCTGCTACCAACAGTTTTAGAATAAACAAAAAGAACTATAATGCAGCAGGTTCTACGTTTATAAAGCCTATAAGCTGATTTCGTGCTGAAATTAAAAACAGCCTCAAGAGTTTAAATGCATGCTGGAATCACAGCAAATTCAGGCAATTTGGGAATATGTTGGTAACCCTTAAAGCTTTTTTTAGAATTGACTTCACCCTGGGCAAGTAACCATCCCTTGATGCGTTGTTAGAGACAGCATTTCTGTCAGGAATATAATTTTCTGACTCAATCTGGCTTGCCGTTCTTGTTTAATCATCCCCATTTCTCTGTACATTTTACTCTTCTGACTACAATGGTCAATATTTATTTTCAGAAGTTTTCAAGTGGTTTAGTTCTTCCAGAACTCTTTTTATCCCATCTAACTCTTCTCCAGTCCCCATTCCTAACGCCCTCGTTTCACTAAGATTTTGCTAAACATTAGAAACGAGCACATGACCTCCAGTCTTCAATGTCTCAGAACAAACAGACATAAAAACATTTGATTAGCTCGTTTGTAAGCTTCTCTAGGCTTGGAATTTAAAATGGCCTTTAGTTCGTCCATTCTTAAAGAACCTTCAGATCAAAATTTAAATTTAAAAAAATTTAAATAAAGAAACCGCTCCCTTTTCTAACCTTTAGCCCCGCCCATGCCCCCCCCAACCCAGGTTCCACGCGAAACTGCAGGAAACCGGAGGAGGCGGGGCGGTGACGTCACGACGCCGGTGCGTCACGGAACGGCGGCGGCTGCGGCGCTGGCGGTGGCTGCGGCAGCGGCGGCATTTTAGTCGGCAGCGGCGGCGGCTGCGGGGCTGCTGCTCCTCCCAGCATCCTTGGCGCGGCCATTTCAGCCCCATCTTGGCCCAGCTGAGGGAGCTGCAGCGGCTGCTTCAGCAGTTTGAATTTCAGTTTCTCCAGGGTTTAGGAATTTGGCGCACCGAGGAGGAGCCGAAGAAGCCACCACCGCTACCTCACACAGCCGGGGCGCCTCCGCTCTCGAGCCAGCGGTCTGCCGCCACCGCCCCTCTCTGAGAGAAGCCGCGAGGAGAGGCCGAGACCGCCGTCGCCGCCCGCCCGCAGGGGTGGTTCCCCCTCCTAGGGGAGGACCGAGCCGGCTTTCCCCTCCCCCAGAGCGGGTTTCCGCCAGAGACAGTCGACATGTCCCTGGGGCTGAGCTCCGGCTAGAGCCGGGGAGGGAGGGCCGCCTGCCCGCGCTGCAGCCCCACCGCCCGCCAGCGGACCTGCAGCCAGCCCCGGTCCGCAGCTCCCGGCTGAATCAGGCATCTTCGACTCCAGACTCGCCGCTTCAGTCCGAGGGCCCAGAGCTGACGCCGACACCGGCCTGAGGAGCCCGAGCGGGGCAGCACCGCCCCTCACGCCGCCGCCTCCTCCTCCTTCTCCTCCTCCTCCTCCTCCTCCTCCTCCTCCTCCGCCGCCGCCGCCGCCGCCGCCGCCTCCTCCTCCTCCTCCTCCTCCTCCTCCTCCTCCTCCTCGCCCTCCCACTCCCACCCCCAGCCAAGGCCTGCTGACCGCGCCGAGCTGGACTGACCACCGCTGCTGGGAGACGGGAGAGGAAGCAGCCGGCCCGCCCCTGGGTTCGCGCTCTCGCCGCCTCTGAGGGAATTGAATTGAGGCGCCCCGGCTGCGGGAGCTGAAAAGGAAGGAGGAGCCGCGGCGGGTCTGAGACGGGGGCAGAGCCGAAGAGACCAACACAGAGAAGGAAACGAGGAGGAGGATGTCTCACCGGGCGGCCAGCGCCTGGATCAGCCCGTGACTGTTACAGCGGCGGGCCTCAGACCCCAGCGCAGACTCGGACTTTGTTTTTGGGGGCCGGTGTTCTGCCCTCCCCGGTTTCTGGCAGGACCCAGAGGAGCCGGCGTGCCTCTCTGCCCTCCAGCCTTCTTCACCATGTCCAAGATGCCGGCCAAGAAAAAGAGCTGCTTCCAGATCACCAGTGTCACCACGGCCCAGGTGGCCACTAGCATCACCGAGGACACCGAGAGCTTGGACGACCCGGACGAGTCACGCACAGAGGACGTCTCCTCCGAGATTTTCGACGTCTCTCGGGCCACGGATTATGGCCCTGAGGAGGTCTGCGAGCGCAGCTCCTCCGAAGAGACACTTAACAATGTTGGGGATGCGGAGACCCCCGGGACCGTCTCCCCAAACCTCCTTCTGGATGGGCAGCTGGCAGCGGCGGGGGCTGCTCCCGCCAACGGAGGAGGAGTCGTTTCTACCCGGAGCGTAGCTGGGGCGCTTGCCAGTACCCTGGCGGCGGCCGCCACTTCGTCCCCCGCCTCCGTAGCACCCGGTGGCCCCCAGGTCGCGGGCTCATCCGCCGGACCAGTGACTGCAACCCCATCTCAGCCTCCCACCACTTGTAGTTCCCGTTTTCGTGTAATCAAGCTGGACCACGGGAGCGGAGAGCCCTATCGACGCGGCCGATGGACGTGTATGGAATACTATGAGAGGGATTCAGACAGCAGCGTCCTGACTAGATCCGGGGATTGCATTAGACACAGCAATACTTTTGACCAGACTGCAGAGCGGGACAGCGGCCTGGGAGCCACCGGAGGGTCGGTGGTGGTAGTGGTGGCTTCCATGCAGGGGGCGCACGGGCCCGACTCGGGAACTGACAGCTCCTTGACTGCTGTGTCACAGCTACCCCCGTCGGAGAAAATGAGCCAGCCCACTCTGGCCCAGCCGCAGAGTTTTAGCGTTGGGCAGCCACAGCCGCCGCCGCCGCCGCCCGTAGGTGGGGCTGTGGCTCAGAGCTCGGCTCCGCTGCCGCCGTTCCCGGGAGCCGCGACCGGGCCACAGCCGATGATGGCAGCCTCGCAGCCAAGCCAGCTCCAGGGAACGGTGCCCGGAGGACAGAGTTTGCAGCCGACGAATGTAACCCTGACGCAGCCGGCTATGCCCCTGCCTACGCAGCCGGCTATGCCCCTTCCTCCGCAGCCGGGCCCGGCTGTCGGCACTTCTGCGACGCCGCAGCCCCAGCAATTCGCGTATCCTCAGCCTCAGATACCGCCCGGACATTTGCTGCCCGTCCAGCCCTCCGGCCAGAGTGAGTACCTACAGCAGCACGTGGCCGGCCTGCAACCTCCAAGCCCCGCGCAGCCCTCGTCCACCGGCGCCGGAGCGAGCCCAGCCACGGCAGCCAGCCTTCCCGTGGGCACCGGCCAGAACGCCTCTTCGGTGGGCACGCAGCTCCTGGGCGCGTCTTCCCAGCCCAACGAAGCGGTGGCCTCCCGGCCGGGACCAACGCAGGGCGGACAGGCCGCGCCGTGTCAGCCGGCTGGAGTGGCCCCGGCTGCTGTGGGAGGCGTGGTGCAGGCGGGCATGGGTTCTGCCGGGGCTGGGCAGCCCCAGTCCGTGCCTCCGCCGCAGATGGGTGGCAGTGGTCCGCTGTCAGCCGTACCTGGTGGCCCTCACGCCGTGGTGCCCGGAGTTCCAAACGTGCCTGCAGCGGTGCCCGCTCCAAGCGTGCCTAGTGTGTCTACCACTTCTGTTACTATGCCAAATGTACCCGCGCCTCTGGCCCAGTCGCAACAGATGAGCAGCCATACTTCAGTCAGCAGGAGCAGCAGCATAATCCAGCACGTTGGGCCGCCCTTAGCGCAAGGAACACACAGTGCACCAACAAGTCTACCACAGTCTGACCTAAGCCAGTTTCAGACTCAGACCCAGCCTTTAGTCGGGCAAGTCGACGATACTAGAAGAAAATCAGAACCCCTACCTCAACCACCACTTTCTCTCATTGCTGAAAATAAGCCTGTTGTGAAGCCGCCTGTTGCAGATGCCCTGACAAACCCCCTTCAGTTAACACCTATGAACAGTCTGGCCACCTCTGTATTCAGCATAGCTATTCCTGTTGATGGTGATGAAGACAGGTATGGAAATTTTTATTTTAAATATTTGATAGAAATGCTTGGCCAACATTGCAGCTTAGGATGCAACTTTGGGAGATGTGTTGTCAACTGAGGTCCTGTAACATTTTTAAATGTAAAACTTAGTGTTTGGTAAAATTGATTGAGGCTGCTGATGCTGTTGTCAAAGTGTGTAATGAACGAATTGGTCTCGTCCCAGTTGTTTAAAAACACTGAAATGGGTAGGGATGCAACATTTGTTTACTCAGAAAGGTGAATTTTAGCTTAATCTTAACCATTTAATGATGATAGCTAGTATGTTATTCTCCCATAGAATTGTCCGTTTCTTACATATGAGTCACACTCGAACACTTAAGGCAGAGAGATTTGTCAGTGTGAGTTTTGAGGCTGAGACAAAATTACTTACAAGTTTTCCTTTCTGGAAAACCAGAAGGCCCTCTAGTGAAAAAAAAAAAAAAAAGAAAAATCCATGTAAGGAATCTCCTTCATCTGGAAAGGCTGGAGACCTAATGGTGAAATGTCAAGTCCGGCTTTGAAGATCATAGTTGGTTCAGCCTTTTGATTAAAGGAGGTAATGAGGTCATGAGTCTTCCCAGAGACTTCGCTAAGATATTATTTTTTTTGTTGTTAAGCAAAAAATGTACTGGAAAGATGTTATCTTCCATCAGTCTTTTTACTATAGAAAAGGGAGGTTGAGATCGATCTTTTAACTGTAGTGAAAGCTATGATTTTTGAAATTAAGACTTAAGTTTATAGTGTAAATGTCAATAATTGGTTCCCTGTATTTAGGGAAGTTTTTTTAATGTCTTAAATAAGAATTGGTGCATTGCTACACCAGTACCGCAACAGCTCATATTTGGTTATGGTTTAATGAGGATTTTTAGTGGTTTTGAGAAAATGTCACATGTAAATTGATGTACATATTTCAAATTTTTTAAAGCTGACTTGTTGCAGTGTTTTAAAATTTTATTTAAAAAGTATAGAAAAAGTTTCAGGAATTTTACAATTAGACATTTCTTTGCTGTGGTTTTTGTTTAGCAAGAGGCTAATTTCAGGTGTTTTTAAAAGATCAAAACTAATATGGATTTCCAGAATAATTAGTATGTAGACAAATACAATGATATATATGTTAAAGCTTTTTCTTCCTATGGTTTCTTCTGAGTTCCTTCACGTTTTTTTCTTAACTTCTCATTTCTAATTAGCCTTGTGTTTTTGATATATGCTTGTGTTGGTTTGAAAAATGCTCACTGAAATTTATACATCTTCTCTCCTTTTTGTAATTTAAAGTTCATCTTTTTTTGTAGGTGACTTGCTTATGGGGAGTCTTTCTTCACTTGAGAACTCTTAGAGAATACCACGTGTCCATAAGTGAGCTCAGCTAGCTAGTCATTGAGAAATTTTGTATGGATGGGACTACCAAGTAAACTGATTCCACAAGCCACTCAGAAAAATCCCTCTACTTTTATAGTTGCTCCCATTGTCACACACAGGGACACACCTTTGATTGAGTTTATTTTTTTCACCTTTGGTAATATTCAACAGGCATCTTCCCTTTCTAGCTGCCAGAAGCCAATTTTTTCCTGATAATTTGGTAAATAACCTTTTGCTTACCTCTGATACTGTATGCTACCCCATATCTCTTCAAGAAATGATGACTGGTTTTCTGACCTAACCTGCTTTCTGTACACACACACACACCCCCCACAACCTAAGAATGCAGATTACATTTTCCCACCTCTTCACACTTCTCTGAGTTTACAGCATACATACTTAGATTCCTTAGAACTTTAATACGATGATGAGGCACGAAGCAGAGAGTTCTTTGATAGATGGAAACTCTGAAATGTATTCTTTAGGGTATGACATCAAAAATGCATTTATTTTTCCTCTTACTGTATTAAGAGTTGGTAATCTGAACAATCTCATTGCCAAATTTGTGAAATTTGAACTACAGATACTACTGTATCAGTGTTCTTATTAATTGCAACAGTTAATTCACTGGTGGGTTTTGATGTAATGTGCAGGCCTATTTTAAACATGACACTTCCCTCCCACACCCTAATCATTTAAAATCTACATTGCTTACCAAATGTTCATTTCTAATTTTTGTTATAGTCTCACTGGTTTTTAACTTGACATGCTAGTTTCCAAGATGTAATCTTACACATTTGACTGTTTTGTCACTGGTTCAACATACCTGGTGAAGGAATAAATCCATTAAGTAGAAATAGTTTTTTGTTTTGTTTTTATTTTTGTTTTTGTTTTTTAATAGAAAGCATTGGTTAAAAAAAAAAAAGCAAGGCACTTAAAAATTTCGTGTTTGAAATTAAATAACACTTTTCTAGGCATATATTTAAATTACTGGGATGAGTACTTTTGAGGAGACAGTACTATTGTAACTGAAAATTTTAATTTTTATGTGATTTTGGGTTGCCACCTTAAATCTGCATACAGTGTTATATGTAGTCATTCAAATGTAATATAAAACCAACTAGAGTGAGAGGTCTTGAGTAATTATGATTTAAACTTTGTAAGTAGTTTGACAAATTTCGGCTCCTAAGGAAACATTTGTAAATAAGATGTATGCTTATTTAAAAAAAATTTTTCAGACTTTAGTATACAGTCTATTTCTTTGAGAAAAGGAAGGAAAATGGGAAATTAAAAAGATTGAGGTAGTTTAGGTTGATACATTGAAAACTCTTATCTTGTGATTTTGGTTCCAGTACCTAGTACAAGGTTCTGTATTGGCTCAATTTTGAAATCATTTATAATTAAAGAACCAGGCCTTATAGTAATACATGTTAATACTATCACATCTTTAAAAGGCGATGCTTGTATATGCAAAAAGTTCTCAACTACCATTACCTATTGACTACATTATTAATTACCGTAAAGTTTATCTTTCTGGCCGTTTTCATTAGAAAGGTTTATGGTCAGTTGTTGAGACTCTTGAAATTGATTTTGTGTAAACTGGTGGATGTGATGGTTGAAAATATAGTTCTTAAAGTCTAGCTACTTTTATAGTGAACTTTACAAAACTTGTTTAACACACTTAACAGTCTCCTGTAAATGAGAGGAGGTGCAAAATATTACTGGCCCTTTTGGAAAAGGAACACAGTACAAACCACTTTCCGTAGATAGTCAACCAATGTGAACTCTGTAGGCCGCATTCCAGGAACTCTTATGAATGGCTGCAATTGTGAGCTGTCATCTGTGTCCAAAAGACTGTGGAAAACCTGAATCTAAGGATCCTTTGGTGCAGATATTTCTATGTCTTGTTAATGGTTTTATTTGTGTGGTTTGCTAATGACCACTGATAAAGTATTATCCATTGTGAATGTTAAGTGGTGTGTCCTGGTATGTGCTATAAATACACATTTTGTTTGTACATTTGTATATATTTTAAACAAAATTCTGCTTTTTTTTCTTTTTTTACTCTAAGTGTATACCAGGAGGCAGAACTGTCTTGATCTTAGACCTCTATCATATGAAAGTCTCACTGTATTGAAGTCTCTAAAGATGGGAATTCCATACTTGAATCTCTGTTTCTTGGGAACTTACATTTGTCTGTTGGATTGTGAAGGTAATTTGGCTCTTGTAGGTTTACAGTTGATGTGTAAATCACATACTGGATACTGTCTTCTGCCTATCTACACCTTTAAGAGTGGTCTTACTGAGGAGTTAGTAATAAAAATGTAAAATCATACATACATGATACATTGTTTAGTGTAAAAACTGATATTGGGGTATTCATCAGAGGTGCCATACAGATTACTAAAAATACTTCATTCGTAAACATGGCTCGAAATAAAGGAAATGACAGATTTCCAAAAAGCCTTATGATTTTCTGAAGTACCCAAAATTCCCAAATCATGTGCTGTATCTGTAGAAGTGTGGCCTTTTATATTCACAGTGACACATCTTATATAAAATTTTATGTGGACTAAATCATATAGTCCAAACATAGGTAAATTTTTTTATAGAAAACATGATGGCTTATATGTGCTGAATAATACAGATTCCACTAGTTATTTTAGTAACACTTGTTGTTTCTCTTTAGGAGATCACAACCCTTGAACGAAATCACCTTTATGAGAAGTCATTTGATATAGAACTGGTGGTGGGGTTATATATGTTCTCTACTTCTTGAGAATAAATATAATGCCAATTCATTTGTTATTTAAGAATCCTGGGCCAGGGGCGGTAGCTCATGCCTGTAATAGCAGCACTTTGGGAGACCAGAGTCGGAGGACTCCTTGATGCCAGAAGTTTGAGACCAGCCTGGACTACATAGCAAGGCTCTGTCTCTACAAAACATTTAAAAATTAGCCAGGTCTGGTGGCACCCACCTGTAGTCTTAGCTGTTTGGGGATGCTGAAGCAGAAGGATTGCCTGAGCCCAGGAGCTGGAGGCTACAGTGTGCTATGTTTTAATACTGCCCTGAAGCCTGGGGCCACACAGCAAGACCCTGTCTGTTTTTAAAGAAAAAGAATTCTGATAGCACTAATTTGGAAATAGTGAAATATGGTACTGGGTCTAAGAATGGGAGTCTATCTTTCTCTGCACCCAAAAAGATCAGACTCAGTTATGAACGAATAGCAGCCTGCCAATCAAGTACTAATAAATTTGTTTCCTGATAGAGTAATGGTGGTTAGGAAAGTATAAAAGAATTCTGACCTTCCTTTCCTAAAATGGCAGGAGGTGGGGGAAGGGAAGTGTAGAATGATAGCAGATAACCAAGACGGAAGAAAATACAATGGAATGGCATGAAATATAGTCTCAAATAAATAGGAACACTTGTGCATACTGAGGAACAGTGTCCTCATTCTTTCTTTGAAGAATTATTTTAGTCCAGTGTGTATTTCCTTTTCTGAAGATTCTGTTTATTTCTTAATTGCATTACTCTTTAAATACTTACAATATGAGGAAGGAGAAGCTTTACAAAAGCAGGTCTGTCTGGTTAAATGTAGCCTGAATGATATTCCCTAAGTAATTCCTTAATT